ATAATAGTCTGTTGGTTGTTTCTGGGATATTTTTGATGTATGGCAGTGTTATCCTTTTCACAGCTTGTGTTGGTTGTACTACATTGGGTTGAGTGGTCAGGCACTTTTTGACAGTTGTATGGATATCCATTTTGGTGAAAGATGTTGTATAGTTCTTTCCTTTTTCTGCTGTTTAGAGTTGCTGCAGTATGTTTGTGCTCTCTAAATTGTATTCTTACACAGCTTCTCTTGTGGGAGGTTGGGATATTATCTTGGTAGTGGATCATTTGGTTGGTGTGGATGGTTTTATGGTAAACTTATGTTTCTAATTGCCATCACTGCCTCTGCTGTTGACGATATCCAGAAAGGATTAGGATGTTGCTGTTTTCTTCTTCCCTAGTGATTTTTATTCCTTTGAAGATGTTGATAGTTTTGTGTCTGTTTTATAGTTGGTCCTTTTTTTATTATGACAAAGGTGTCTTATACATACAGTACTTTGGATCTATACTTTGGGTTATATATATGTATGTATTAGACTTAAAGTCCTATCAATTCCAGGCATTGCATTATGGTCTCGATAACAAGGACACTTGAATGCAACTGTCTTGATCTAATACAAATACAATTCAGGAATCATTCTTGATTTTCTTAATTTTTAAGAGAATGGCAGAGTAATTACTTTATCTCTCAGTGACTTCTGGAATTTTTGAACATGCTTTCTTTTTCACTGAATTGAGTCTAAAATTGTTATTTAGTGATTCAGTTCAAACCTGCAGTTTCCAGATTCTTGTTAATTATATTTCAAACTCTATAATTGTGTGTCATCCCAATGGTAATAGCATTCAAAGCATTGGGAGAATACTACTTCTAATATATCAGAGCTATTCAATCTCAATTTGCCCATCTAACGTGGAAGGTTAATATATATTTTGATCAGCCTCAGCTGGTATACCTTTTGAGGCCATACCTAGACAGTGTACTGCAGAATCTGAGAACTACTCTTCTATACTTTAACATTCTCACTATTCTTTTTTCCAAGATTTCATTATTTCCATCCAAGTTCTGTACAACTTTTTAAATCTTTCCAGTGCTCTTGTTCTTCCTGTATATACTCGTTACATAGTTCATTTCTCATTCATTTTCTCTGTATGACCAAATAATCTCACAGTTGTATTGGCCATTCATTTTATATTCAGTGCACATTCAGTCAGCACCTCCGTCATTCCTGATCCTCTCCTTTCTTTATCTTTCACATTCCTTAAGTTTCTCCTTCCCACTGCTTTCAACTATAGTTGGGTCCCTTGATCTTATTGTGGATTAAAATTAGCATTTGCTCTTGCTATATTTACTTGGGAAGAATGTTATCTCCATATACATTATTCATTTGCTTTAATGCACAGCAATGAAAAAAAGGTTATAATACATGTGAAAGACTCAGTTTTAAACACATTAAACCTTGATCATGTAATAGTGATAAGTCTTTCTATTAGTCAATTGATGAGCAGAGTCAACATAGATAAACCCATAAAGTTGGAAGTGAGTTTATATGTCATCTAATCCAACCTCTGATCAGTGCCACATCTTTTAGAAAAACTCTGGCAGATGAACATCAGGATGCTGTTTGAAGACTTCTAGTGAAGAATTCACCATACCATGTAAGCCTGTTATATGGACTAAGAACACATACAGTCTGGAATTTTCTTCTGATGTCTAGCCTAAACCTTCATCCTCACAGTTTTAAAGCATTAGTTGTGATGCTGTCTTCTGGCCAATAGAGAACTGGTCCCGTCCCTATTCTTTGTAAAAGTTCTTCAGACATCTCCCTTAGTCAATTTTCCTGTGGACTAAACTTACCCAGGTCCTTTAATTGTTTCTCTTTGAGTTTAGTTTCCATATTCTTCACTGTCTTAGTAGCCTTTTTCATAACTTACAGCTGTTTTGTCACTGTTTTTTTTTTAACTGAACACATAGGTACAAATAGAGCTTAATCGGGGCACAAAATGGAACAAACATCTCTCATGATCTGGACTCTGGCTCTGCTAATGCATCTCAAAATGGCTTTTTTTGGAACCCGGATCCAACTGATGGCTCATATTTAATTCATAGTCAATAAGATACGATGTCTCTTTCAGAATAACAGAGTTGGAAGGAACCTTGAAGGTCTTCTAATCCAACCCTCTTCTCAAGCAGGAGACCCTATAGCATTTGAGACAAGTGGTTGTCTAATCTCTTCTTAAAAACTTCCAGTGATAGAGCACCCATAACGTCTGAAGGCAAGCTGTTCCACTGATTAATTGTTCTAACTGTTAAGAGATTTCTCCTTATTTCTAGATTGGCCCTCTCCTTGATTAGCTTCCTATTGCTTCTTATTCTGCCTTCATGTGCTTTGGAAAATAGGTTGATCGCCTCTTGTTCGTGGCAGCACCTTAGATATTGGAACACTGCTATCATGTCACCCCTAGTCCTTCTTTTCATTAAATTAGACATACCCAATTCCTGCAACCGTTCTTCATATATTTTAGCCTCCAGTCCCCTAATCTTTGTTGCTCTATTCTGCGCTCTTCTAGAATCACAACATCTTTTTATTTATATTGTGGCAACAGAAACTGGATGCAATATTCCAAGTGTGATCTTACCAGGCCAGGGCATTTTAAAAGTCGTGCTAACACTTCCTATGATCTTGATTCTATCCTTCTGTTAATACTGCCTAGGACTGTGTTAGATTTTTGGTTGCTGCAGCATACACTGCTGCCTCACATTTAAGTAATTGTCCACTAGGACTCCAAGATCCTTTTCACAGTTACTAGTATCAGCTATTCTCTACTGTGCATTTGGTTTTTCTTGCCTAAGTGTAGAACCTTACTTTTCTCACCACTGAATTTCATTTTGTTGGATAAGGTCCAGTGTTCAAGTCTGTCAAGATCCTTCTGGATCTTGAGCCTATCTTCTGGAGTGTGGGCTATTCTCACAGCTTGGTGTCGTCTGCAAATGTGCTACTACCAAGCTAGTAGTAATTTTTCATCTAAAGTGTTAGCTGTCCCTCCCAATTTCATAATATCTGCAACCTTTATAAGTATCCTTCAACACACTCATCTAAATCAGGCATGTCAAACTGCCGGCGGATGCGTCACACCGAAACTGCGCCCACCCTATTGCCGGCAATGGGGAAAAAGTTGCAATATGTCGCACGATGTCACGTGACGCCGTGAGTTTGACATCCCTGATCTAAATCATTGATAAAAATATTCAATGGCATGGAACCTAGGCATAGGTAGTACCCAGTAGCAGCACACAAATCCCTATAAGCCTATTTGGAACCTTTAATCAGCACTCTTTCAGTACAGTTGTTCTGCCAACCATGAGTCTTCATTATTGTTGAAAGTGTGACATCCAGAGAAGGGGGAAATGAGATAGGACCTGGATACAAAGTTTCAGAAGAGTGAATTTTGATTAATTTCCCCAAGGGAATGTAGCGTGGATGTAATGATTAAATATTCTTTAAGAAAGTCATGTGCAGGAATAATGGGAGCTTCTACAAAGAGCATTCTAGAGTATAACATGCAACATGTCAACAAACAATAAATTATTTCTATTTCCATAATGCATTCAAAACATTCTACAGCAAATGGTTTTCAGTTCATACTTTCTGACCTACATTTCTCTGTATTAGTTTCCCAAATTCACATTATTCATTTGTGATTTCAATTTAATCTGTTAGATTTCAAGTCAGAATGTTCCATCTTCTGTAGTCATCAGATGATTCCATAGATACTGACCTTGAGTGCCCAGCTTGGTCAATTGGAACTACATAAAGTTTTGTTAACATAGTGGATGAATAGGCTAGATGGAACCCTTATTTATATCCAATTGACATGTAATATTCAGTTTTCACACATTTTATCTTTACCATAAAGTCAATCAAAATCTAGTTTTATCCCAAGTCTGCTCAGGTTATTCCATATAAACTAGGATCTTTTAATTAGACATGTTTCCAACCAATACAGGTGTATTGGCATGTGGAAGGAATAGACCATAATCTGCCACTCTGGTCCAATGCAAGTTGGCAGATGTGATCGGTATTAGTCCAGGGTATCCATTATAGCCTATTTGCCTTAGGATATATAAATGTCCAATGACATAGCCCACAATTTTATTTACCCACACAAGCCCCTTTGCCTAGTCAAGGCCCCAATCATAGAATGAGAGGCTATCATATAAGTGTGAAAAATAATGTGCCATCATTTTAAGAATTGCATTAACATTAATGAAAGGATTCTTAAAAGCAATGGCATCTTTTTCAGATTCTTTTTCCTTTTCAGAATCCCCAAAATAGGAGTTTCTTTCATGAATAAGAGAGATATTCTAGCATGTTTCTTCTTCCAAAATATTGTTGAAGGTTAAACAATCCTAAAATATCTGGTTTGGTATAGATTACATTTGCAGAACATTGATAACTTATTTACTCTTATAAAGCCTCTTTTCTACAGTCCAATATTTTGTTTAACCTAGAATTATTTTACAATTACTTTAAAATTCAAAGTTACTTTTATAGTTAATTATTTTAAAAAAACCAATTATACAGATACAATCTTAGGGAATTTTTCTTAAATAGTTATTTTGCTAGTAGTGACTGGATTTTTGAATAGCAAGTATTATCTGCCACCAGATATTTCTTGACTAAGTCTTGTAAATTTGCTTTGCAACAGATCAGATCACTGCATAAATGAATTAAATCTTTCTGGAAGCTATTGTTTTGGAATACATGATGCTAGTATTAAATCTGATTCATGTTGCATGTCACTTTCAGAGGATTCTGATATTGATTTAGCCTCTCCAGTAACTGATTTGTATGCTTTGTTTCAGAGGTCATTCACATTAATAATAGAAGCCTGGGACTGGGATAATGAAACAAAAGCTGGTGAGTATATTTTTAAAGAATTTGAACACTTGGAGCTGACAGTTATGAGGAAATAAGACAACTTGTAGGAAATATTTAGATTTTTTTTACTCAAACCCTAAAGACAAGTCAGCATATTTCTGTTTTCAAACATCTGAGACACTAAAAAGAAATGATTAACCAAAAATACTATGAACAGTATATGAAAGGTTATAAGTGCCTTATATACATATGTATGTATGTATGTATGTGTATGTGTGTATATATATGATATATATGTATGTATGTGTATGTGTGTGTAGGGGAAGACTCCAGAAACTCTATAAAACAGCAAGTCACAGGACTGCTTATGCAGCATAGGCATTACCAGACCCTATCCAGGGAGGAGTTGGTGGCCCTAGAGCAACTCAGAAATGATGAGTTTATAGTCATATTACCAGCAGACAAAGGCAGGGCCACAGTGGTAATGGATAGGGTGCGGTATGTGACCAAGGCATTAGAACTCCTTGAGGATACAATGGCTTATAGAGTAATTGATAGGGATCCCATGGCATCTATGGTAAATAAGATCAACAAGTCATTGAACAGCTTTAAGCATGCCAAAAGAGTAGATGAGAACACCCTAAGGAGAATTTGGTCTAAGGATTCAGCCCTCCCTAGGTTTTATGGACTCTCTAAAATCCATAAGGAGGGCACTCCGCTTCGCCCTATCGTCTCCTTTAGGGGTACGCCTATTTTGGGATTGGCGAAGTGGCTGAGTGAATGCATTTCCTACCTGGTGGAAGACAGCCCCACCACTATTAAATCGGCAGAGGAGTTCTTAGGTAGAATCCAGAACCTGAGGGTGGAGGAAGACGAGGTGATGGTATCGTTTGACGTCACCTCGCTCTTCACCTCCATCCCTCAGGATCTTGCAATGGCGGTCCTTAAAGAACGGCTGAAGGCATGAGAGGGCACGCAGTGCCGGGACTCCCTGCGTGTAGAGGACTTGTTAAAACTCGTGGAATTTTGTCTGACCACGTACTTCACCTTACAGGGTGTCGTATATGAACAGATAAAAGGCACCCCCATGGGCTCCCCTATATCCAGCGTGATAGCGGAGGCGGTTCTCCAACGGTTGGAACATGAGGCTATGTCCCAGTACCGTCCCAAGTTTTGGGCACGGTACGTGGACGACACATTTGTCGTCATTAAACGAAGTAATAAAACCAACTTCATGGGAATACTGAACTCAATCTATCCAGACATTAAGTTTACAGTGGAGGAGGAGAACCGGGGCTCGATAGCCTTCCTGGATGTATTACTCCAGCGCTTACCAGATGGTTCTGTAAGCACGAAGGTATATCGTAAGCCCACCCATACGGACCGAATCCTCCACTATAACAGTAACCACCCAGTAGCCCATAAGGTTGGCTGCATCAAAACGCTGTTTGGGCATATACATTCACACTGCAGCACGGTGAAATCTAGAATAGAAGAGAGGAAGCATTTGTACCGGGTCTTTCGGTTGAATGGATACCCGTTGGGTTTTGTGAGACGCTACAGTAGGACATCTGGACCCCAACGTGGCCATGAGGAGGAACCTCAAGGGCAGACCACACGCATCACCTTACCGTATATCAATAATGTCTCCGAGGCCACAGCTAGATTGTTGGCTCCCTATAACATCAAGGTGGCTCATAGAACAGACCAGACTTTGCGATCAAGGATCATGCGCCCCAAAGACCAACTCCCCACCGCAGAAAGATCAGCGGTGGTGTATAACATCAGGTGCATGGACTGCCCATGTAATTACGTGGGCGAAACATCTAAGAGATTGAAGACTCGCCTGCACGAACACGAGTTGGCAGTTAAGAGGGGTGAGCAACACTCACAGATCTGGTCGCATATGGCTGAGAATGGCCACCGTTTTAATTTTGACCGAGTCCAGGTCCTAGCGAGTGATACCACCAAAGGGGGCCGACTATTGAAAGAGGCGTGGTTCTCTGGAAAGGACTCCATCAACCGGCATGTGGATATGTGCCCGGCACAACAAACGTTAAGAACTTGGCACACAAACCGGCCCCCTAATCACCGGAGAGGGCTGATGCATGGACTGTACCCAGATCGAGAGAGGAACGTGGCTGCCGCTTTATCGCACGACCGGATTGACATGGACTTTGATACCCCCCCATCAGCTATATCCCCTGGCCCCGTGAGGGGCCGACAACAACTTCCACAGACCCCCTTAAAAATCGCTCCGGATAGTAAATTGAGTAAACACACTATGATGACTCGATCCCGTCAGAAGAGGGAAAGGGATTCCCGGTCTACGAACGAGAATGGCTCCCGGATCGGGGGAAAGAAGGGATCGTTACGGCATCTGTGAAGGGAGACGAAGGCATGAGCAGAGATCTTGGGAGTTGCTACCCCCCTTATCAGATGGGGGTGGCATCTGGAGATAGGGGCAAGGAGGAGACGGCACACTTGGATCACGCTTGTAAGGGACGGAGGAATTTAGCAGTGAGATCAAGGAAGAACTGCATCCCCCCAGAGCATAGTGCCACACACAGAATTCACTCCACCCCTGAAGTTAACGAGGAGAACACTTACGGTAAAACACGGAGAAGGTATGGAAAAACATCATGCGTTGATGTAAGTAATGCATCTAGGATACAACACGAACAGCTGGGTCCGGTGACGCGTTCCAGAAGCCGGATACAGGCTGTTGACATCGTATAAAAGCACTTTCCCAGTGACTACTTTTAAAGCCCTGACGATGTTGGGTGAGCCCAACAAAAGCTCGGCTCATTAACATTTTTTACTATTTATTACTTTCCTCTTGGTGATCGTTAGTTATTGGTTTTATCATACATATATATATATACCGTATTTTCCGGCGTATAAGAAGACTTTCTAAACACTGAAAATCATCTCAAAAGTCGGAGGTCGTCTTATACGCCCAGTCGTCTTATACACCGGAAAATACAGGTATTCTATTTTATTCCTTTATATAAGCTGAGGACGCGATGGGGGCGGCGGCCGGGAGCCGCTGCCTCCCATCCTGCTCCCCCTCCCTGGACGCGATGGGGCGGTGGCCGGGAGCTGTTGCCTCCCGTCCTGCTCCCCCTCCCCGCCCGTTCAGCTGAGGACGCGATGGGGGCGGTGGCCAGGAGCTGTTGCCTCCCGTTCTGCTCCCCCTCCCCGCCCATTCGGCTGAGGATCCGGCGGCCAGGCTGGGGGCGGCGTGGACTACCGACGATGGTGCAGTGGCCGCTGCCGTGCTGCCGCCGCCCCTGGAGCCACTGCCTCCCGTCCTGCTCCCCCGTCCGTTCGGCGCCATCTGCCTTTCATTTTCTTTCTCTCTCTCCTAACCTGGAGGGAGAGGGAGAGAGAGAAAGAGGAAAGAAAGAGAAGAGAAAGAGGAAAGAGAAAGAGAAGAGAGAGAAAGAGGAAAGAGAGAGGAAAGAGGAAAGAAAGAGAAGAGAAAGAGGAAAGAGGGAAAGAGAAAGACGAAAGAGAAAGAGGAAAGAAGAGAAAGAGGAAAGAGA